GCCTTCACCACTAAGTGCTGGGATTACAGGCATTTACCACCTTGTTGATAAAATGTTTAGCTGCATGGTTAGGTAGAGGATATACACAAAGGGCCTGAGTGTCACTGGCAGCCTCTCTGATGAGCGGCATGCTGAGAATGGATCTCTCCATCTCTGCAGGAGGACAGCCTAAGGGACAGCGTGGGGTCAACGAGCAAGAAACAAATGGGGGAGAGCCCCCACAGAACTGTGTCCTCTGCTGGGGCCTGAGGCCAGTGTGTCTTCCTGGCTGGACTAGGGGCGGGTGAGTGGCAGGGTGTACCGTCTCGAATTCTTCTCACAGTGGGAGCCAGAAGGCTGAGTCTCTCTGCTGTGATAGTGGTCCACACAGGAGAAGTTCTCCAGAAGAGGGGCATGAAAACAGAAGCCCATATTCCCAGGAAAACTTGTCTAGGACATGCAAGAGTGAGATGGTTGGGGATGTGATGTGTAGGCATAGAGGGGAAGGGGGAAGGTGGCCCAAAGAATGGCTGGCCCAGAGAGGGCCCCCACAGAACAGCTGAGTGGGGAGACTGGGTGAGATTGGGGGGGCGCCCCCCAGGCAGGCATCCTTAAGAGCCTTGGCATGCTGGCCTGCTGAGCCAGCACATTGCTTTGTGTGCAAATCACCTCCTTCCCTTCTTCTCTTCTGTCCCCACCCCCACCTCAGTCCCTGTCTAAACTCTTCCCAAACCACCCCAGCTTCCAGGCTGTCAGGAAGAAGGGCAGAGAGAGGGCGGGAGGCACCCAGTCCTGGGTGGGAGCCAATGTGGGTGGGTGGGAGAGGTTTACCCTGGGCAGGAGTGGAGGAGGAAAGGGTACATTTGCAATCTCCTCCTCTCCCCACTGTTGGGGCCACGCCCTTTGTGCTTCTGGCAAGCCAACCCTTCAGGGAGGGGGTCATGCTGCTGGGGACAGGATGGGTGGGAGACAGAGGTTTGGAGAATTTAAACTGGGAAGAAGGGGTGTTGGCTCTCCTCAGCATCCCCGAAGCCAAAGAATTCTGACAGCTGGGGGTAGCTGAGGGTAGAGCAGGGCCTTAGTCATGAAGACCGTGTCTGCGTGTGGCTATGGATCAATGTGCTTGCATGCATGAGGATGTGCGCACATAGGTGTTTGCACAGCGCTGGTGTGGCTGCGCACGCGCAGAGCTGGGTGCCCCAGCAAGTTCACACCTGGGCCCACAGCTGCAAGAGTGAAGCAAAGGGCTCCTTGGAACATCCAGCCTGGAGCCCAGTTCTTTCTCCTAGCAGATGCCTGACCAGAACATCTGGCCACATCTGCCCGCAAGAAAGGGAATCCTGGAACCTGTGTCCGGGCTAGAAGGGACAGGGCTGCCTGAGTTGTGCAAGCAGCCCTTCTGGAGGCCTGAGCAGGAGCACCGGCCGGTGGCGGCTCTCTGCTAAAGGGATCAGCTTGGCTTCGGACTTATCCTAATTTCAGTCCCAACTCCTAGGTCCTCACCCCCAACACATACCCCAGGCCTGCTTAAACAAGATGACTGACTAGTCCCACCATCACAGAGACAAGTTTCTTTGTGTTACATTTTTTTCCCCAGTTACCCTAGTCCCAACCCCTCTGATCCCTGCCTCACCCAACCTCCAGAACTTTCTCCAGAGGCATTTACTTTCCCTTCTTTCTCTTCCTGCCTGACACCTCATCCTCCCACAAGGCCCTTTGTCCCCCAGGACCCTGGCCTCTACCTCTCCTGCCTTATTCCTCTCTTTCCTGTGACTGGGGTCTTCATCTCTCCTGTTGGCCTTCAGGGGTCTCCTGCCCTAAGAATCACGCCCCTGTTGGTCTGGGTGGGGGCTGTCTCTTTGCTTTCAGCTTTCCTCTATCTCTCCCCATCTGTGTAGCAGTGTCTCTCTCTTGCCACCATCCCTGGGTGGTCTAGCCTCCCTCCTCTTTCCTTGCACTGTATCCTGGAGGCTGGCTGGGGTGGAAGCCAGGTCTGGGGTCTGTGACCAGGCCAGGAAGGAGAACCCGAGCAGACATGATATTTACGTTGGGACTTCAAAGTGGAGCACAGGCTGCTGTGGGGTTGAAGGGGCTGGCAAGCCAAAGCCAGACTGAGGTCAGATTATGCTCCTCCCCAGTGAGGGTCTCCTTGGCGACACACACCTCCCCATGGGACACCAGACCTAGAGAAGGGATGGAATGGGCTATTTTGGTGCAGAGTTCCAAGAAAGGCACTTCCTGTACCCTCACCCTGCCCCCATCCTTTCTTCCTGTCACCCTGCAGCTGGGTCTGGGCAGCTTGGTCCCCCCACTTTCTGTAAGCATCCCTCAGTTGGGAACACAAGGAGTTCTGGGGATGGCAGGAGCAAAGGGCTCAGTCTCAGCAAGAAAACATCCCGGGCACTGGGGCAGCCCCTGCATTCTCACTTTCTGGCAGAGCCTTTGCCTGGCAGGACAGCATGGGCCTGTAACCCTATCAGCCCCATGCAATGGGACCAGGCAAAGAGGGCCTTTCCCAATCCTTAAGAGTCCACCTCAGACTACCAGCCTGAGCCTGGAGGATCCAAGATGGATTGTGAAGGTCACCTCCCCAGCTAAAGACATCCAGCTGCTAAGGCCGGGAACGGGGAGGGGGGGGTCCCAGCCTAGAGGGCAGGGCTGATTGTCTCATCCACAGCTCAGCTTAAGGGGCCTAAATCCCACCCAGGGAGCACCCTTCAGGAAAGAGCCACCACCACGACACTCGAATCCAAAGCCGACTCAGGCCCCCAGAGCCCCAGCTCCTGAGCCAGCGCCCTTCCCCATCCTCCATACTTCAGCTCCTGTGAATCAGGCTGGAATCTGATGAGCTCAGGCTGCCCCGCCCAGCCTGCCTGCCTCAGCTCCTGCCTAGCCTGTGAGGTCACCGCACCCTTTCAGGGGTCTTCCCAGCAATTCAGTCTCCTCAGGAGGCCCACCAGGGCCTGGCTGGGGGAGTGAGACAGGGCTAAGCCAGGCTGCATGGGAAATATTAGGAGATTGGGGTTGGACCAAAGTATAAAAACGTGTTTGTGTGTGTGCTGTGTTGGTTGGGGTTGGGGGTGGGGAATTACACTTCCAGGGCTCTTATGGAGCAGGAAGTAGAGACTATGGTGTGTCTCCAGGAGCACGGATGTGACTGTGAGTGGTGACACGAGTGTTGGCACATTTGCACACGTAGGCCTGTGTCAGGAAGTCAGCATGTCACTACAGGCCTGTGTCCACAGTCCCCGTGTGTGTCACAGTGGTGCCTGGGGGTGCCTGGGCACTCTTAGGAGCCACCTGGAATAGCAGGATGGCTTTGCAATGGAATGTGGGTCAGAGTGTAACCACGCTCCAAACTGTGGGTGTGAACATCACCCAGGAGGCCACAGTAGGATGTGGAGGGGACAGAGGGTGGGTCAGGCTGAGGCTCAGCCCCTGCCATTCCCTCCACCCCTCAGACTATCCCACAGGCCCTAGAACCTGAACCAGGCAGCCCTCCCCACACTCCTTTTTTTTTTTTTTTTTTTTTTTTTTTTCCTTTTTGGTTTTTCCAGACAGGGTTTCTCTGTGTAGCTCTGGCTGTCCTGGACTTTTTTGTAGACCGGGCTGGCCTGGAACTCTGAGGTCTGCTGCCTCCGCCTCCCTGTGTGCTGGGACTACTGTGCTGCGAGCCCTGAGCCCGGCTCAAGCCGTCCTCTCTTTCACCCTCTTCCTGACACCTTTTCAAATGATGCCTGGTGGTAGGGTATTCATCCCTGGGGTAGCAACAGGGAAGAAGAGCACCTGGTGCGAGGCTGGAGTGAGGTGTGCACGCCTCTTGGTAGAGCTGGTAGAAAATGTACCAGCCCCAAGAGCAGAGGGAACAGCTTTTGATGAAGTCTTCCTGGACCCACCATTCCACATCATTTCTCATACATTCTCACAAGTGCCCGTTCCGGCCCAGCCATTGTTCTAGGCTTGAAGGCCTGCCGGGCAGGAGGCCAGTTAGACTCTGGCATGCTAGTGGGGAAGACAGACAATAAACAAACTCACACGCACAACTGGGGTGACTTTAAAATGACAAGAGCAACATTGCGGAGCAGGGAAATGAGGGAAATGATGTGCCTGCTTCCAAGACACCCAAGCAGTGCTTGGTCAGTGCTCTTTAGCAGGGAGGCACAGCACATCTCCAGAGCCTTGACTTCTAGGACATCGATGATAGCGGGAATGATAGACTTTCCAGGAATGCAGCGGTTCACAGTACCCCCAGGTCACAGTACTTGGTACTGAGTTTCTCTTTAGGCCACAACATACACGCGCTCCTCATTTGAGATGGGGGTCTTATCTTGTAGCCTAGGCTGGCTTCTAATTATGTTGCCAAGGATGTCCCTGAACTCCTGATCCCCCTTGTCTCAGTCTCCCAAAGGCTGGGATTACGGATGTGTGCTACCATACCTGGCTTTGTTTGTTGAGAGTATGAACAGACAATTTGTCTGGAAGGTATATGTTTGAGTTTTCTGTTCTGTAACAAGCCACTTTTCTGAAGAAGGCCTCAGGTTCCTACTTTATAAAATGGAGATATTGGGAGGGGAAAATTAAAATGAGATGGAGACACCAGTCTCAGATTGGCATATTGCCACTGACCCTGCCTGGTGGGTCCGCCACTGAGCCCAACCTGCGTTCCTACTGATTTGGCCTTGACTGGTGGGTAGTCAGACTTAAAAAGAAAAAGAAAAAAAAAAGTTCAGAGAGCAGGCAGGAGTGGCACTGCTCCTCTGAGCCATGGCTGGATCCACACTGAATTCTAGGAGCCCAGAATTAGAACTGAGCACAAAAAGGAAGGGGCTGTGGAGGTCCCAGAGACCTGGTTCCCACGAAAGCAGCTCCATATCCTGTTCCTGGGATCCTCTGAGCACCCCTGCAGACTTCCCAGGTCCTTCCCCTGGGACCCACCAGCATACACCCTGTGTCGCCTTCCCAGAAAAGGCCTCCCTGCCCCAGGCCAGCACAGTCGCTTACTTGGAGTTATCAAGCCTCAGTCAGTCGACACCATTTATTGAGCACCTGGCGTGCTCCATCCTGTACAAAAGCATTGGGGAGGGAGGAAGGGCATCTCGTGGAAAAAGAGCAAGTGTTGTCCAGAGCCTTGAAACCCCAGCAGCCTTGTCTGCGGCCTTCCCTGGGTGGTTGAGAGGGGCTGCACCAGGGCAGCCTTCCCTGTGCCAGGTGTTAGATGCCAGAAGGACTTGTTCCTCATCATACATACTCTTCCCTGCCGGGGAGGGGCACGGAAGTGGGGAAGGAAGAACACCGGTGGCCCCTGGACTAGCTTGGTGCCCTACACTGACTAGATGTGGATCTGAAAGTCGGCCTCCCTATTGTTACACTTGGGTCGGTGTCCTGGGGCTCAGAGGCCCAGGAAGAGCGAGCGCCTTTCAGCCTGTCTGGAAGGCCGGCTGCTCCTTTGTCTGGAAACAATCCTTTCCTAAGAATCTCTGACTGCAAGTGGCCTTTGCCCTGAATTTCCCAGGCTGCCTTAAGAGTACAAGGCCAGCGACGTTCCCTCTGCTCTTAAATTTTCTTTATCCCCACCCCTCTAGCCCCCCACCCACCCACCTAGGCGGGGTGGGGCTTCACCCTCGGCAGCTTCTTGGGCTGTGCATGCCCTCTTGTGGCTATTGGTGGGCATTTTTTTTTTTCTCTGCTCAGATTTACGGCGGGTTTCCCTCTCGGGCTGCTGCCCTGGCCTTGAGGGCTAGTTTGCTTGGGAATTCTTGGATTTTTTTGGGAATTACCTTCCTGCACTGCAGTGGGGCCCACAAGCCAGTCCACGCCTCAAGCGTTTGTAAGGGCCCAAAGAGCAGAGTACAAAGGCAATATTTGTGGAGCATGTCTCTCTGTTTTGGACACTTGTCTTCCCGCTCGTGGGCATCACTGCCCAGGGTCCAATCCCCCAGAAGTACTGAAATGCCTCAGTAGAGCTCTGATCTTGAAGAAAGACTGGAACATAGATGCTTTCTCTCTTGTGACCTGACCTCCAGGACCATAACCATCTCTGGACTGACTGGGGAAGAAGCCACAGGTGAGAGACATGTCTGGCAGAGGCAGGTGCCTTAAGGGGCTGCTAACGCCCATTTTTTTTTCCCTCCCTTTCTCCTGCCTAAGCTTAGCTGACAACCACCCACATGGGTCGTGGGTCATTCCAGGAGCCCTGAAGAACGGCAGTCCTATCCCCTGTTTGCACACCAAGGTGCTACATCTGGGAAGGCTGTTTGTTTGGGGATCTTCACTGTCATCCTGCTGTTTCCCTGAAACTAGGAGAGACTAGAGTTGTTCAGGGTCGTGGTGCTCCAATAAGCCTTCCTGTGTCCATGGGCAATGGGAGAGGCAAAAGAAGCCAGGACCCCCCCCCCCGTACCAGAACTTGGCTATCAGATGGATTTTTCCCTTACCAGATACACTTATCCCTGTGGGTAATGGAGGAACAGAAGCCAGGGGCCTCAGACACAGGGTCTGGGAGTCTCCCGACTCTTAACTTTGCCCTGTCTATGTGGCCAGGCCCCTGGTCTCTAGCAAGTGAACTCATGAAGGTCATCAGCTAGAGAACAGACACACCATACACATCAGAGAACCGCATGTGGTGGAAAAGGGAGCTTGGCATCTGGGAAGAGCAGATTTAGAAGCTCCCGGGGGTCCAGAGGAGTCTTTCGGCTCTTCCTAGCTACGCTTCTGCAGCCTGGCTTCCCTCCACCTTTTGCTCCCCTGGCTGTACATGACCTCCTCTGGCCTGATCCTCGCCTCCGGGGTCAACAGTTGTCTCTGGTTCCCCCTCACTGTTTTGGGCCCCTTTCTCCTCCTCCTGAGCTCCTGCCTCTGGCCTCTCGCTGCCCGTCTTTGCCTTCTCTGTTGCAGCCCTTCGGGTGTCAGGGCGCTCCGCCCGGCGGTAGACAAGGTAGCCAGTTGCTGGAAGCCTGTGGGCCAGGGTTTCAGAGGGCAGGCGATGGTAGCCCTGGTCCTTGTAGAGGAAGAGGCCGAATGCGTCAGGCTGGGTCACTCGGAACTTGGTGGCACAGAGTTGGCTCAGGGTGGCAATTGAAGACCCTGGGGGCACAGCCAGGGTCTTGGAGGTGCAACCCGTGCTGGGGTCCTGGTGGGCTACTCGGAGGAGGTGCTATGCGGAAGGGAAGGACAAGTCCTCAGCTCTGCTGGGTCATCACCTCCAGAGCAGAAAGGACAGGCTGAAGCTGTGCAAGGGTAAGGTGGGGGTGGTACATCTCCTCGGGAGAACTGACTGCCGGGAGACTTGTGAGCTCCAGAGGGACACTGAGGCAGGCGGAGGGAAATGGGGTTGGGTTAGGGATATAGGCACAAGGCCACCCCAGGGGAGCTTCCTGAAAGGATCCACCAGGAGAGCCCACTGTGTGTTCCCTCCCTAACTGTTCCCAGGGCTATCCCCCCATAGTTCACCGGAGCACCTAACCTTCATGACAGTCCAGGTGCCCATTTTAGAGATGAGAAAACCAAGGCGCAGACAAAAAGTGATAGAGCTGGGATGAATCTGGGACCTGGCTACAAAATCTGGATGCATAAGCAAGACTGAGAAGGTTTAAGGCCCAGGGTGATGCACCCTGGCCAAGGCCCAAATGGGAGCATAGACTGAAGTTCGGGGACAAAGGAAGGTAGAAACTTGGCTGGTCCCAGGTTCCATCTCCTTATCTGTAAATGGGGAAAACAATGGCCCTACTTCAGAGTGTCTGTGGCGATTGAAGGAGGGCGCCCTGGAGCTGGCAGCTCAGTGCCTGTCCCCTGGAACACGTTCCCCTCAAGGGCAGCTCTGACACTTAGACGGGCCTCTGTTTCTATTGTAGGGTGATGCCTGGTTACAGCGACGTCAGAGTCCCTCTGAGCATAGCCAGTTTGGGGCAGACACCGGGAAGGGTCCTTTACCTGGAAGCTGTGGGTGGCCGGCAGGCGGCGCTGTTCCCAGAGGGCAAGAGAGCGCTGGAGCTCCTGTGCCGGGCTGAGAGGGAGAGCCCCGGCCTGACTCAGGCCACCCAGCAAGGCCAGGCTGGCTGAGAGGCTGGTCAGGTAGTAGCCGCCTAGGACACACGGAATGCAGCTCAGGCTGGGGTAGGGTGTCCTGCGTTCCCCTCCTCGATTACTCAGGACCTCCTAGCAGCTAAGAAGCCCCAATTCCACCCGGAGGGGAAGGGAGGGGACCCTTACCCTCTCCAGTGAGCAGGGTGGGCTCCAGTAGCTCTGACATGTACTCAGCTTCTAATAGGAGGTCAGGAAGGTCACACTGGGCCAGAACAAGGCTCAGCAGAGGAAGGAACTCATCAGCACTTGCATCCTCCCCTGTGAAAACATGGGCAGAAGAAAGTTCCAGCCTCCTCAGAGGCCAGAGGGCTAGGTTCCAAACTCTGTCCTAGGCGGAACAGTAACCCCTCCCCTCCGCCTGCTAGACCCCTAGGTAACGGGACCAGGACCATCATAGCAACCACAGGGAAGGCTACGGGGAAGAAAAGCATTCTACTCCTGAGATGAAGAATTGGATCCTTCTCTCCTGTTTGCAGTTCTGGGGACCTGGGACCTTCTCCCTTCGGGGAGGGACTGGGAGGCGGGGAGGTACAGCCTATATTAGGAAAGAACGGAGCAGGGGAAGGGGTGGTCATACCCGCCTGGGTTTTCAGGGCTGTGTAGAGCAGCTTGCAGGCCTGCAGAAGCCACTTGACCTGGGCGCTAGGTGAGTAGGCGCGAAGCAGCTGCAGCAGCTTCTGGCGCACCTGTTCCGTCTCCACTGGGGAGGAGAGGTTCAGGTGGGAGCCAAGGGCTCCAGGCCCCTGGGTCCGGGCCAGGCGGAAGCCCTCAACCAGGCGGCCAAGGGAACCATCTGTGGAAAGCCGGCGCCGCAGGCGGGCAGCTAGGATGGGCCGAAGAGGCTTGAGAACAGAGCGATGGAGGGACTTCTCCAGGACCAATTCTGTCAAAGGAGAGTAGATACGGTCAGGGTCAAGAGGCCTGGAGGAGCAGCAGGCCCCGGGTCAAGACAGGAGGTAGGGAGAGGGACTGGGAGAGGAGGATGGAATTCAGTGCAGTGGTGGGGGGGGGGGTAGGGACACAGGGAAAGCAGCCGGCACCGTCAGGCACCAAGGCAAGGCAAGGAGGTTGGAGAGTCAGGTATTGAATTTGGGGAGGCCGGGGCTGGGGCCTTACCCAGCCTCTCCGGGGGTAGCAGCTTCTCAGGGCCCAGCTCTGCACTCAGCATGGCCCGGGCCCGGCTCAGGGCCTGGCGGATGCCCTGCAACTCCCGGGGCTCAGGACCAGCCCGAACCTGGGTCAGTAGGTCCTGCACTAGCTGACCCACAGCTGTGTATCGGTTTTGCACTAGCATCGTGGCCGCCCGGCCCACCTGCCTCTCCGGTGCCAGCAGGGAGCAGAAAGCCGAACTCATGGACCGAAGCAGAGGCCTTCGCTGCCTTGGGCGGCTGAGGCGCGGCGAGGTTGAGGGGCCCCCTGGAGGCCCCTCCTCCTCTGAGCTGCTGGGGGAGCAGCAGTCCACCTCCTGAAGCGAAGGCAGGGGAGGAAGGCTGGGGCCAGCAGCGCTTCCTGGCACGCGGTACCCCACCGAGCTCTCCCTCTGCAGCAGCTGTCGAGGGGGCAGCCTTTCCGCTTGGCTGGAAGACGTCCCCGGCGGCACGGGGACAGGGGGAGGCGGCACAGCAGGTGGAGACAGAGGGCTGGAGGTCTCTGTGGATACGCGCACTTTGAAACTCCTCTTGAACTTCTCCCGTTTGGTGGGGCCCAGATCCCCTGGGAAGAGGGGGTTGAAGAAGCACAGGGCTGCGCCAGTGCCCTGATCCAGCTCTTGAGGGGACCGAGCCTTCAGCCGGGGTATCGGCGGGGCTGGGGCTTCGGAGGGCCTCTGTTGGATCTTGGTGTTGAGGGAGGAACTCCAGAACTCTAGCAATCAGAACCAACGGGCACCTCAGAGCTGGCCCATGAGGGTGCCCACAGAGAAAAGTCTTGGTTGCTCTTTCTTCCCTCATTTGGCCTTTATGTGCCCATCTGCGCAATGGACTGCAGGGAACCCTTACCCATGCCCAGATGGGAGATGGCCTCCAGTTCCTTGTGGGTGGCTGCCTGATGGATGGCTCTGGGGAGTCGGAGAGGGAGGAGAAGAATGTCCCTAAGGTCAGAGCAAGAGGCAGTCAAGAGTGAGTGGTGCGCAGGGGCAGAGGGTGGCCCATCCCTGGGAGCAGGCCCAGCAGCCACCAGATGCCCCGCCCGTGGACCCACCTGGTATGGCAGTATGCACAGATGAGCTGGACCAGGTCCTGGAACACGAGCTCTGAGCCCTCCAAGCAGACACCACCTGAGAGACATTGGGAGTGAGGCTGTTCTCTGGGGGCCTCCCTCCCTCGCCTGCCTCAGCCCTCCCCACCAGGCCAGTCCCCTCACCACCAGGGCTCTCCTGGATATAGTGGCTGGAGACGAAAGAGGGGCCACTGGCTTCCGGCAGCCTCACACACAGAGCCTGGCACTGGCGGGTGTTAGATCTCCGCACCAGGAAAGTCTGCAAGGGGGGGTTAGGAGGCTCAGGATCTCCGTGTCCAGGGCCCCTTCCCTCCCATCCTTGGCGGGCCGGACCTGGGGGAAGGGGAAAGACTCACCCCCGGAGGCTCAGTCCTCAGAACGTGCAGGGCGGCCGCAGCATTGGCCCGCAGCTGTAACCACACAGGCCGGGTGATCAGCAGCCGCTCTCGCAGGCTCACAGCGCGTGCTGGCTGTTGGGACCTGCCTGCCTGTGCCCAGCTGGCATCAGGTGTGTCATACAGTGGGTCTGGAGATGGCCTGGGGGCAGACACCCAGGCCTGAGCAGGGGTCTGGGTGAACACCTCTTTCCCCGTTCTGGGCTTCCCACCTAACCTGTCCTTGCCAGATCCTCCTGTCGGCTGGCTGCCCACACCCCTGCACCTGGCTCATCTCCCAACTTCACTAACTTTTCTTTCTGGTGGTGCCCAGGAACAGAGTTGAGGCTGGCGGCTCCCAGAGGCTCTGCTCCCGTCTCCTCAGGTTCTTCCATGGCTGGGAGCGCCTTCAGCTTCTCCTGGGACTCAGGAAGAGAATCCAACCCCCAAGGCACAGGCGTGCACATTCCTGGCGGTGAGTAACACTTCCTGAAGGCGGTTCGCCCCGTCACACCCCGCCAGTTAACTCTTGTATGTCCACTCCGTGTGGCCAGTGTCCACCTCTTCTATTCTGGGCCCAGTCTTGAATGGCAGGGGACCCCTCCATGACAGTGCCACTATCAGGGCCCCAGCTGTGGGAGGGCCATCTCCACACAGCACTTCCTGCAGCTCCCTCACCCTAAGCAGCTGGGTAGGGAGGCGGTAAGCAGGGCAGACCAAGTTCCCCTAGGCCCAAAGCCTCACCCCTGGGTCACCTTAAGAAGTCTTGCGGTCACTTGCTCATCTGCGCCTGCTTTGGATGGGGGGGCAGCCTTGTGGGAGAGCGCCCCCTACTGGTCGGAGATGACTCATTCCTGAACCTAACTTGGGTTTTGTGATTTCAGGTTGCTATGGAGAGAGGATGCTGAGTCTCCATGGAAACTAGGCCCTTTGCTTAACCGAGGTTCTGGGGGTGGTTCTGACACTCACTGCTAACCAGGGGGAGTGTGGCTGTGAGGTTGTCATGCACATGGTGCTGCTGCTAGCTGCCTCCCACACAGGCCCTGCTAGCTAGCCTGCCTTGCCAAGCTGCCAAGTGCCTGGGGCAGGTGCAGACATGACCTGGCCTCCAGGCATGTGCAAAAGTCCCTTCATGACCCGAGGCTATGAGCTTCACCTGCTTGCCTCTCCTTGGGCTTTTCTCTAAGTCACAGTGAAGAACAGAGGCCCCGGAAAAGTCTGGCTTAGGTGCTCCCCCCACAAGCCTAGATTCCCTTGCAAGACACAGCAGACACACGGCGGTCACATCAAGGTCCCAGGATAAATTTTATTACAGTCTTTGGAATCTGGGAGGCAGACACCAGGAATGGCCCTGAGAAAGCCTGGGAAATCTTCATGCCCAGTGGCAGTCAATGGGCAAGACCCAACATGTTTCTGGCTCAAGAGTCCCTCTTGCAGTGGGGCCCAGCTCCTGGCTCAGTGGCTGAGGGCCAGGATTCAAAGTCAGGGTGGTTGCTGCACTGACTCTGGATGAGGCCCATCTTCTTTGTTGGGGACACAGAGGAAGTTACTCTTTGGGAGGGGTTGGGCTGGTGAGCGATAGAGACAACAGTCTTGCTTGACCAGGTCAGCTTCAGGGCCACAGTTATGCAGATCCCAAGGAGAGTAGAGGAGTCCAGGCCAGTGGTGGCAGAAGGTCAGGGGACAGCAGTAACACCGGAGGGCTGCTAGGTAACCCCTGCCTTTGCAGAGCAATGTTAGTCCTGTGTATGGTACCAGCTGCTCCAAGGACCCTCTGAGTGTAAATGCAGGGTCAGGGTCCTAGGGGTATATGAGAAAACCAGCAAAAAGGAAGCTGAACCGAAAGGACAACCCCACTTCCTGAGGGCACTGAGGTTAGTGCCATACTCCCCTCACCCACTTCTTCCTGCTGTCTCTGACCCACCCTGCCTTGTGGTGTTGAGCTTGGGACCAGGGTCCTTCCATGCTAGGCAAGCACTCCACCACTGACCTCCACAGTCCTCCATCCCACCTTCCATGTCCTCGCTCCCTCAGCCGAGATCTTCCCCAACCTGGTTCCTAGTCCCCAAACTCTCACAAAACCCCCAAGGTGAGATGAGGCTACCAATTCTGACAGGGCCACCTCCGGTTCTTACCATCTGCTTTCCTCTTCTGAGGGGACACTGCTGCCCTGGCCTGGGTGAAGAGAAGAAAGTGCCCCTTAGAGTTCTCTTAGCTTGCCTGACACTGCTCCCCACAGTCCAGGATGAAAGCTTGGAAGCTGCTGAGTCAGGTTACATGAAGAATAAACATCTTTTCTACCCCAAGCTCCAAGCTGTCTCCTCTAAGAAGCCAGCCCAGCAAGCCTTCCCTGGCTTTCCAGCGCTCGCTCCTGGAACAGGGGCTGACACAAACATCCCTTCATCAGCTCAGCCTCCACTCGGGAGAACTACAAGCTGCCACAAAGGCTGAGACAGACGTTGGTTGCTGAGGAGTGGGTAGAAAACTGCCTGGGTATTCTCGGGCACAGAGCTGGCATGGGGAGGGGTGGGGAGAGTCAGGGTGGCAGGGTAGGGTGGGGTAAGCTGGCAGCGGTGGACTTACCTTTTTGATAGCTGTCCAGTCTTCCAGGATGTCGATCTCCTGCAGCATGTATACAATATACGGGCCTGCACAGGGGTCAAGGAAGCAGGACAGCAGGAGGCATGCAACAAGGCTCCACGAGAAGCCCATGGGTGGCACGTGGAGAGTGTGGAGGTGGTGAAAACAGCCTTTTTTTTTCCTTTTTCTTTTCTGTTTTCTGTTTTTGAGACATGGGCTATGTAGCCCTGCCTGGCCTGGAACGCAGCGATCACCCACCTCTGCCTCCTGAGTGCAGGGTTAATGGTATATGCCACCGCACTCGGCAAGACCCTAGGTTTCAGCTAAGTTCTACCTCCTGCCTCAGGGCCCCTAGTTCTTGGTGAGTGTGGGGACTGTGTTAGGCATGAAACCCCAACCCATTCCCTCATCCACCCATTTTCCAGATCAGCTGACCAAGGCCCATCTCACCCTGAGGGGCCCTGCTCTTCCTGATTTGTCTCACTCTGTCAGTAACTGGCTCACTGGACTTTTCCTCACCTGAAGGCAGATCCTGGCCTTCCCTCCTAATCGCACATGGTCTGTGCTCTGTGTCTGCAATCTAGTCACAATAGTTCAATAAAGTCTCCATCCCACCTCCACCCTGAGGCGGGTCCCAAGGCTGCCACCGTGGCTGTGAAAGGCCTCAAGCTCAGTGCTATGCTGTGCAGTACAGGAGGGTCAAAGACAGTGCGGTCCCTTGGGGAAGCTCCATTCAGAACAGAACCACTCATGTGGGGGTGGGGGTACAGATCAGGAGAGACCTCAGAGGAGACAGCACCTGACACAGCACACTGAGCAGACAGGCGATAGCTCCAGAGGGGTTGAGCAAGGCCTGGGGAGGAATGGCTGAGACAACACAGGCCCGCACCAGGTCACTGAGGGGCTTCAAAGGCTGATCTTTACTCAGGAAATTACTAGGAGTCAGGGAGCTGAGCTCAGAAGGGCTTAGAACACATAAGAAAATTCTGACAAATGGATATTTTCGTGTGATACCAAATGACCATGAAGGATTCTGGTTTGACTCTGTCCCATGTAATCCATCTAACCTCCCTGCGTGCCGGGCCTGCCCCACACTGCCCAGTTTCAGGAGACCCTGAGCGGAAGGATACCAGACACGAGCGGGGCCTTCTTCCTCTTGCTGGGGGGCAGTGAGTCCCAGGTCTTTGAGCTGCCTCTGGCATGCAGTTTGTCATCCCACCACTCTGTGCCCAGAGACTCAGTTAGGATCAGGACGGGACCCAGAGGTAATTCCCATTACCTCTGGGGCTTTACCATGGAGCAACCTGTCCCTTCCCTCCCTCCCCATCACCACCAGGCCAGTGCCCCCAACCTTGGGTTGAGGCTGGCAACTTCTCAGGACCACTTGGACTCTGGCCACACACTGGTGCAGTTTGGGAAGAGGACACTGCCCTTCTTGGCTAAGCCTCAGTTCTTCCATTTGCTTAGTACACAGGGGACGCAGGAAATTTCTGGACCCCACATGAACACAGATGCTGCCGCCATGGAGAGGCCTATGGCTTTTTATATGCATCCATGTGCATATAAAATGGTACCCCATTCTGAATGGGGGCAGGCAGGGGACCCACTCTGCTTGAGCCCCCACTATCTGTGGAATACCGAGCTAGATCCTTTCCTGAAGGCTCATTCAGTGCTCATAGGTACCCCAAGAAGTGTGCTGTTTGACTTCCCTTGTGCAGCCTGGGAAGCTGGGGCCAGAGAGGGGTGGGGCCCTTGAGGATTGGGCCCTTGCCTCACCAGAGCTGATGTCCAGGCTCTGGCGGTCCTCCTCCAGCCTCTGGATCCGCTCCTGCAGCTCTCCAAGCAGTGTGTCATACAGCAGCAGCTTCTCGCTCTGGGAGGGGGCAGCCACTCAGCCAGGGGAACCACTGGACTCCGTGTCACTGCCCTCCCGGAGGCCCACCTGCTGGCTCACCTCCAGGTGTTGTTTGGCTCCCTGGAGCTCACACTCATACTTGTTCCTGATCACATCCAGACAGAAGCCCTTGTAGATTCCTGCAAAGGGGAAGAGGAGCTTTGCTTGGCCAGGGGCCCTGGTGACCCCTCCCAACAAAAGAGCCACAAGAACAGGGCGAGCAGAGCAGGGGCAGAGCTTCCGGGAACGGCACAGGGCAGTTACCGACCTGCCACCTGAATGCGGATCTTCAGGCTCTGCTGCAGCCCTCCAAGAGGCTCTGTGTATTCTGGGGCTCTCTCGGCCCCCACTTCCTCCAGCCGTAAGCGCAGCTGGCTCAGCCGCTCCCTGAACAGCCTGGAGGTGGAAAGGCAGCTGTGTCCCACTGGCAAGTGCCTGCCAAACACCTGCTCCCCTTGTGCCCACTGGCTGCTCACCACGGCACCTGCACCCCAGGTGCCCAAAGGCCCGCCCCAGCACGCCCATGCTCACTTCTCCTTCAGCTCCGAGAACTGCTTTTCCAGGTCCAGCATCTCACTGACACACTCACTGCGGCGCCGCTCATAGTCCTCCTCATCCATCTCTGAGACGAGAGGCCAATTAGGGCTGGCTGCGTATGTGTGTAACATGGGCTTCAGGGACTTCACGTGAGCTCTTTCTGCAGGGGTGGTCTGCTGCTTGCACTCGTGTGTGTGTGTGTGTGTGTGTGTGTGTGTGTGTGTGTGTATGTGTGTAATGTGTTTTAGGGAGTCACCTGAGCTCTCTCTGCAGGGGTGGTCTGCTGCTCAGGCTTGAATGTGTCTGTGTGTGCATGTGTGTGTAACATGGGTTTTAGCGAGTCACCTGAGCTCTCTTTCTGCAGGTGTGATCCACTGCTCATATATGTATATGTGTGTGCGCATGTGTGTGTCTGTGTGTAACATGGGTTTGAGGGATTCACCTGAGCTCTCTCTC